TTTATTATATTTTAATTATTTAATTTTGAATTTTTAATATATTTTTAAAAGAGAAATTTTTAGATAACACATTTTGATAAATGATTTGTAATATAATGAGCGAAATGAGTTTATTTTTAATTTATCTCAATGTATAGCGCAAGAAAAATATTTTCACGTTTTGCAAATTATTGTTTCTGACATAATTCAAGTATGATAATGTCGAGTTATATTCGTTTCTTTAGCTTCTCGATCGTGAAACGCGCCGTGAGAAGGTAATAGAAGCAAAAAATAGGGAACAACGATTGAAAATGAGGACTTTGAAGATGCATGGTGAGTTAGATTTTACTGATGCTTCTTTGAAACTAGATGAACGGGAAGAGTCTAAGAAATCTTCTGCCGGTTTGAAAAACGCACTGATAGTGCAATGCGAACAGGAATACGAAAATATAATTAATGCGGTAAAGGGATTTCTTTTCACTTAACAATAAATCAACTTCGCGCAGATATATTTTTAAATATCGATTATTATTATATTACAGGAATTAACGCGACAAGCGGAAGCAAATATCGTTGAATTGAATAACAATGTGCAGAACGGTACGATTATAAGTTAAACTAATTATGTAAGTTAATGTAAGTAATTTTATTGCGAATAATTTAACATAAGATATTTTTGCTTACTTCATTTGGATTATCACAGTGCACATTAAGAAATAAATATTCTGAGAGGAAGTATTTTGTTAAAACAATTGAAAAATCAAATATATGTTAAATTAATAATTAAGGAGTAAATGAAAAATGCGTGTATTTTCTTAAAAATTAACACAATGTCATGGCTTATTTCGAACTTAATATGTTAATTATATTAATTTAAAGTTAATTTAATTATAGCTCAAAATAAGCCATGACATTGTGTTAATTTTTAAAATAATAATTTTGTATTTTTAATATTAATTCATTTGCAAGCATACTTTTACTCTTTCTGTCTGCAATTGGAGTCTTTTTTTCTTTGGCCCAAGTTTTTTACTCTTCTACGTGCCCTACACTTTCAAAAAAAATTCAGAGCTATTTTTCAACATCTCTATTACATACACATTACATACAAATAGTTTTTAAACGTTAAAATCTTTATTTAATAAAAATTGAAATTTAAGCAACAAGCGAGTGAAATTTGAAAATAAAATTTTACCAAAAAATGATCGAGATTGTATGGAGAGTTGATGTTGCTATAGCATTGCTATGCTTATCTTAATGCCAAGACACTATTATACCTTGTCTCCTGATCTCTGATTTTTTTTACACATTCTATATAATATAGATAAGTCGCTCTTCTTGGCCTTTCTATCTTTCGTTTTTTCTTCAACTTTTTCTCAGATTTTTCTTGTTTTCCTCCTTTGCTCCTTTTCCTTCCATTTTGACTCCCCTCTATTTTTTATTTTCAGGTATTGGTGGAAATAAAAAAGTAGGAGGTGCTTCGAGATTGTTTCATGAAATATCCCTGTTTACATTTTTTCTCCCTATCCTTCCTAATACTTGACGTTCAAATTAAAGTCAGTCAACTTGTCTTACGCTTAGCAAGAACATTTCTCGTCCTGTTTCTAATTTCATTTCTTTGCAATTATACAACAAGTAAGTATGTGAGCCAAATGTTCTATTTCAACTCGGAATCTAATAATGGAGCAAAAAAATTGTGAATAAAAAAACGCATTCTTTCATTTTGTCGTTTCGTTTATGGTATAATAATTTAATTGCCGAAATATAATTTTGATTGCAAGTGATCACGATTGTATAGTTGTAATAGTTTAAAAAAATTCAAAATCTCTGTGATTTTTAAGAATTTCTGACTAAATAATATGCAGAGCAATTCGAGAGTTTGTCATACTTTTTACTGAATTATCTTTTAAAATACTTGGAACATAATTTTCTCTCCTGAACAATTTTATATTTTTTACTTGTGCTACTTGTTTTGCCGGAGCGTGATAAATCTTGAATCTATCGCATATTTATTATTACAAAATTCATATATTTTTATCTGTTACATGTTAAACATCACTACTAATTTTCCAATAATGATCGAATGTAGTAATATAAAATGTTACATATAATGAGATCTGATTCAATCGAAATAAATCTATACTGGTATAAATGCCTTTATATGAGCCACCATAAAATGGAAGTAACCATAATAAAGGATAACAATGCACTCACATATGATATGTATATTATAAAACGACCTTTTTCGCTATTTAAATTATTTTTCCCAATATTCATTATTGAGTCAGAAACTTGGATGTGATGATAAATAGAATCCTCCTATTGTCCTATCGTAAGTTTCACAAGGAAAATTTCGATAAAATTCTCAAAATCTTGTTTAAAATCTTGTGTCACAAGGAAAATTTCGATAAAACTCTCAAAATCTTGTGTAAAAAAGTAACGAATATTCGCTAGGATTAATTTTTAACATCATTAAAAAACGATTACATAAAAAATTCGAACCAATTAACCAACACAATTCCGATAATACCAGCAAAAATAAATGTAAAATCAAAATGCAGGTATTTTATTATACCTTTTCTCTCGAAGATGGAAAAATTTATTATACCTTTTCTCTCTATAAGATATTGGATAAAAATAAAGAGATTTTTTTTAAGAAGGGCTCCAACTCTAATATGGCATACAAAGATGTTAATAATCTATGGAAATTCATTAAGGATAAATTTCTTGTCTTGTCTCACATCAATGTAATTTACAAAATAGCATGTAAAGACTGTGATGTCTTATTTGAGGCAAACGAGCAAGTTTTTAAAAACGAGGATTAACGAGCACAGGAGACATATTAATTGAAACACGACACAGAAATTGGTAATCAGAGAATAAACGGAGAATAGAAGAATTCACAGTTGAGTTTGATTGAGACAATGTCAAAATTTTAGATGAACAACATATTTTACAAAAAAGATTACGCTCAGAAAGGATACAATGAACAGACGAATGGTCTTAATTTGTAGAACGACATGGAACTTCTTCTCGGATTTTACATATTTTTATTATAATTCGTTGTTTCCCTCTCTTCAACAATCTTGATATAGATCAATTTCTGTATTATTATCTCATTACACATTTAACTTTTGTACTAACAGTTCCTCGAATGCTTTTTCCTCGCAACAATTACAATATCGTAATTTTAATATAAAATCTAAATATATATTGACTAAATAAAACTTTATTATTTAGTAAATTTGTCATTTTGATGTCATTCTGTTTAGATTAAATATATTCAGAGAATCTTGAGAAATTATCTTCCCATATTTCATCACAAGTCTGATAACTACTTGAATGGATCACATCAGATTTAATATTTGCGTTTATAATTTCATATTAGTTTAGTTCATAGCATTTTATTGTATTTACTGAAAAAGATCCGAATCAAGAGAGAAACGTATATAGATTTATATTTCTTATTGAATAAAAAGTATGTTATACACTGTCACCCTGTGTCGACTCATAAAGGCATTTTATACCATTACATAGAATGTAAAATGTTTAACAGTATAAATTGTAAAATGTTTAACGATATAAATTGTTTTATAATTTATATGAATTATATTAGATCGGCGATTTACTCAATGACTAAAATTATGTCTATTTATTTTGTATTAACACACACGTATTGATCGTTATTGTACTTTTCAAGAGAATAATTTTTTTTTTTGTTAAATAGAAAGAGATATGTATACGATGAATCCCGCACAGAATTCGCAAAATATGCAACTTGATTTATCAATATTGTTCCAATTATCACGACGGAAGCAAAGGCGGATATTGGGGGAGCATTTATATCCGCTGGTTTATAGCATATACCCGAATTTTATGCCTCACAAGCTCACAGATATCTTACTAGATATCAATTCTATTGGAGTATTGATTTCTATGCTAAATAATCCGGAGTTGTTCCATCTCAAACTCAAGGATGCTGTCAACGTGCTTCAAACTTATTATGCTATGACTAAGTGAAAAGTATCATCGAGGAACCACAATGAAATTCGAAATCATCTGTATATACGTTGTGACTCTTAAATTTGCACTTAACGCCGAGATCCAGATCTAATCACTTATACTTTAAGATAAATATTTATTGAAAAATAATGAATTACGAAACGATTATAACTATTCAGCAAATGAGAATTGAAATGGATTCAGATTTTCAAAAGTATTGACAATTCACGAATGCTAAAATGAATGCTTTTCAATCCTGAATTTTTATTCATTTATAGAAATTACTTGGAGCATATCTTTATGCTTTTTAATCTAAAAATAATATTAGTTTTTTCTGTGAATTATGAATACTATTCAATTCAAAATTTTGAATAAGAAATGCAGTTTTTTAATCCAATTGCATCCAATTGAATCCAATTAAATCCAAAAAAAGTATTCGCTATTTAAAATGCGCATTCGGATAGAAAAAAATTTCAATCCATTTTAATCCATTCTCGTTTGCTGGATAAATCAATTAATCAATCAGATCTTTTCATTGCAAATAATTATTTAATAAATTTTTTTTAATTGTATTTTTTTCTTTTTTTTCTTTTTTTTTATCATATTGTAATTTACTGTCTACTATAATAAAGCGATATGAGATAATATAATTTCATGAAAGAGATAATTATTCAATAAATTTTTTTAAATTACATTTTATTTTTCCTTATTTTCTCTTTTTCCCTTTTTTTATTATTTTATATTGTAGTTATATTTATTACATTAATATGATTTGAAATAATTTAATTTGTAAGAAGACCAAAATAATATATAAATAGTTCAGTAAATATAATTATAATTTAGCGAATAACAGCAGTTGGAAAAATGGGAATTTAATTCGTTAGAGCCAAAAGTCAGTTGCAGACAATTGTTCCCAACTATTCTGCAAGTTGTCATGTTACTATGCCATTACTTATTTTCTTCTCTTTCTTCTTTTTTTAGTACATGTCTGAATCAAAAGTACCATTACAGAAACTGTTAGCTGTCACATACATCACTTTTAATTTGGATCTATTGTTTTCTTTGTTGCGATTTATCTTCCCGACTGTTTTTATAGGTTGCGAATATATCTATTTTATTTTGAGTGGAGAAAGTAAGTAAAATATATAGTGATAGTTTGCAAAGCTTAGTTATGCACGCTAGTGATACGCAACTTTTTAAAGACTATTTTTATAAGGTCCATTTTCAAATCTTTTCGGCTGCTATAAAATAGAAAATGTACAGATTTTATATTTGCGAATTACTATGAACCGGCAATTCGCAAACACTTAACAGATGGGCAGCAGATTGTGCGTTATTGATGTAAAGAAACAAATTTGAATATATAAGAGAATGCAGTTTTTTCAGTTCTGTTGCCCACAGTTAATTTAGCTTCGGATCGAAAAGCGAGTTTTGAATCAAAAAGGTAAGAGATAAAAATCAGTAACTCGGTTTGCAATTATAAATCATAGAAATTTAGTGGAATAAGGTGCTATAATGAATTCGATTATGGAGCGTATATTACAAGAAGAAATGAAAGTAATTTATCGAGAAAAGTGTGTATTAAGGAGCTCGTGGAAAAAATTATTTTTTATCTCATCTCATTTTATCGTACAAGTACAATATTTTGTAGATTGAAACGCAGGATTATCCTTACGGAAAAATACTATCTAAAATATTATTAAAAAAACTATGAAAAAATACTATCAAAAGTTCACAGTAAATTCGCGACTATAAATTCATAGTAACTATGAATAGCATACTATGAATTTGATAATATACTAGTATAATATACTAGTATTTTTCCGTAAGGGAAGTATCATACAATGATAATAATCTATAAGATCGCATTTATATTATAATAGAGATAATAACTTATAAATTATATAATAATTATTATTATAATTAATAAAACAAATTACGGAGTAATGAGTTTACTGTCAATTGTCTGTCAATTTTTCTTGTCATAA